TGTAACCATAATACGTAAACTTAAGCTGAAGAACCAATCAGAATAATGCTACAGATTTATGTATCCCAAAAGACTATAAAAGTGACACAAAGTTTTATCTTGCGCAGAAATAACTAGACTTCAATCAGTTGAAATCTAGTTATTTCTGCGCAAGATAAAACTTTGTGTCACTTTTATAGTCTTTTGGGATACATAAATCTGTAGCATTATTCTGATTGGTTCTTCAGCTTAAGTTTACGTATTATGGTTACAGTTACGGCAATTTGTGTGCGAAGGCCCTAACTCTTTAGCTAAAATTCATACCTTATATCTACAGTTACGGCAATCAATGCGAAAGACCTTTAAGATTCCTCTAGGCTGATTCTCTAACTTCATAACGATGTCACCAATATGGTGTGTCGCTGCGCAACTCTCCTATCATGTATTATACCTGCGCAACGACACTGTCATTAGAAATAATAAAATCGACCTACAGAGTCCTCGCCGCGGAACTCTTGATTGATGACGTTAGAAGTGAGAAAACGCATGTCTAGAATTCTTATATCCAAATATCTCTAAATATAAAGACATTTCTATGAAAGAATACTTCTGATCATTTAAATATATATGCGAGATGCCCCGAAAATGATCCTTCTGCCTTTACAACCAATACATAACCGTTAAATTAACGTGACATGCAACCTTCCTCTTTAACCTGCTTTTCCTCATGATTTCACTATATTCATTTGACGACTATTTATTAATTATCAAGGAGAAAAGAGAGTTTCTCGGGACATTTCTCAAATATATTCAAGCAATTTGAAATAATCTCCAGAAATTTTCGGCGTATCATTTTTCACTTCTAATGTCGCAATTTAACATGGCCGCGACCAATACTTGGAAGAGAAGCCTTAATGTTACAGACCAGTCAATTTTGTTCTTTATCTTGGCTTCGATGTTTCATGTTTTTCATATGGAAATCCAATCACAACTTATTCTTTACACGTTTTCCTCTAAAAATATCATAAGACTTTCCTCAACAACAACAGATATTTTAGAATCTAATGTAGTTAGGACTCATCCTCTATATATATAGATACATACATATTCTATGATAATAATTTAGATATTCATATCCAAAGACCAAAACGAATATCCAGGATCAGATATATGTCTAGAAATTGGTACTTTTAAACCCATTTTACAATATCCATAATAAAATGCAGTAAGACGCGAACAGTAAGTAAATTGACCAACTAGTTTAAGCAAATCGACCAATAGTCGATTATTCTTGCATCAGCATAGAATACATGTATGTATGTATCTAATACATGTATACAAAATAAATCACCTAACTAGATTAAATTCTAAAATATCTCTGTTGTTGTTTTATGATGAAAGTCTTATGAAATGTATAAGGAATAAATAATAATTAGTTGACCACAATATTTATGCCTTCCAAACACAAAACTTATACACCTAATATATTTTCTTCTAATATAAAAACCAATACAACTTTACAATCTAACATTACGTGATTCAGTGTGTATTTCATGTTAAAAGTTTAAATATTCGTATTTAAAGACCAAAATGATAGGAACGTTCGAAACTAAGTGCGGACATAGGTACTTTTATCTTATCGAAAATACGAATTCTACTCGCACAGAAAAAGGTATTATTCTACTGCTAAGAAAAGCGATTACTCAATTTACATTTCCTCCTTTGAAGTAATGGTAATCTTTGACAAAGAATATTTCCTTGACAATAGTCTTAAAATATACACGTTACAAAGTTCAGAGAAACTCATCATAAAGAACTCAAAAGAAGTTTTATTCTCTTTGTAAGAACATAAAACCTTATCGAGAAAAAAGTCAATTTGACACTCCATGTAGTAAACAAACCGAATTTTTCTTTTAATTTAATATTTTTCATTGAAATACTGAACTAATTAGGATTAAAAATATATTTTGTTTGCTACTCATGATGAACTTGTAGTAATTTTGCGGATATATAAAATAAAACGCTTAAAACAAGTAATATTTAATGAATATAGCATGTACCTTTTTGTATGCGCATGTAGATCACTTATTATCAACAAGAGTCAAATTTTTCAACCGTTAGAACAACAATTTTGTTACAATAACTTTAAGTATCTCCCCATCAGTTGTTAGCTATTTAAATCGCCTATAAGACTTTTATCTTACACTATTAACGACAAGTAATATAAACTTCTAAAATATCTTAAAGATATCTTAGAGACGTTTAAAAGATGTTCTACTACTTCAGGCGTCTCTAAGATGTCTTAGAAGTTCTGCTACCTGATTCTCTCTCTCTAGATCCCACTCCTAAGATCCCACACAATGAAATTGAAGCAGAGATCAAAATATTTTGCCAGACGAAGCGGTGAAAACCTAAAGGTCAAAACAATTAGCTGCGTGAGCGTGTGCCACGTCTACGACTGTCAATCGACTTTTCCGACCGGCGAACTCGAAATACTCGCACGATAAACGTACGCGAATGTAAATTCCCGGCCATTGACTATCAAACAGTCATTATTAATCAGTTGATTGGCTGGCTGGCTGGCTGGCTGGCTGGCTGGCTGACTACCTCCGTACGTTAACACGCTCGGTGCATCGGACGACCACGTGAACACAGCGACACCAATCTCTTTGACGCATTTTCTTCGTTTCGTTTATACGTCGATCGTCATTGCGGTTCGCCAACGACGACGCGTAGTTATTTGTTGCGCGTAGTAGGCACACGTTCGATTTACGTAATAACGTACGACGCGACATGCCATGCGCGAGAAACTAATTTTTTTGTTATCGAAGAGATAAATGGACACGATTGACTCGCTTTATATATACTTGATAACTCAAACTTTGCCAAGAATGCATTTTTGTAATCTCTTCCCCAATGCTACCTCCTTCCAATATTTCTAGAGACGCAAATTCTTTGTTTTTAATCAGAAAGAGATTCATTTTTTAATTATTATTTATTTTTAATTATTATTTAATTATTTTTAATTATTATTTTTTTATTATTATTTAGAGAAAATATTGTAATAAAAAAAATTATAACAAAACTTTTGCAATACTGGAGACCTATGCACAATTATGACTAAATATATATAAATTTATGTATAAACTATATTAAAATATAGTATATATATAATATACTGTACATAAACTATATTTGTTTAAAAGCATTGCTACTAAAGTGTTACTTTTTACTGCAAAATTATTGTAGTTGTTAGAATTTTTTTCTTATTTTCTATATCAAGTAATCGTCAAATTTTTTTTATTATTTCTATATTTATTTATATTACAATTTCAGCATGATCGAGCTTTACAATAACATTATAATACAAAAACATTGAATAAAGAAACGTAATTTTAATGTAATTTTAACTGCGATATTTTCTCTGTGTGCAATTGCGAGAGAAAGAGTTCGCGCAAGTAATTAATAGTTACTAACGACCGCGATATGCGACGTAATACATTTATTCTTCTTCGTCTTTCAGATTACGATTATGAAGGATACCACGACGAGTTACGATTATTCCGAGCCGTGGACCTTGCCTCCGAAGCAAGGCCTGTACGATCCTACTCTCGAGCGGGAGTCATGCGGCGTCGGCTTTATCGTTGCCATTGACGGAAAGAGGTCGCACAAGGTGAGACGCCGATTTCAAGCTTCGTGTCGTCTGTCGCTCTTAAGTACAAAGAACGCAAGCTTGTCGCGTACGTAGCACGATCTTTGTAATCCGCTACGAATGCATATGACACATATTGCGTTATATTTTACATAGATTTGTTACATAAGTCACAAAGATAAGATAAACATTTAAGCGTAGAAGAGCCAATGTAATAGACTGATGAACGATAAGTGTCGAAGGTATCGCGATTAAACAAACATCAATGCGCGTTAAGTTCGACGAAAGGAATTAAGGAAAAACTAAGACAAGCCACATAATAACTAAAATGACAAGAGAAAAAACGGGAGTGTGACGTTAGATCGGGCTAATGACTATTAGATCATTAAATTGCATTGCTCCAGCTTGGGCTCGTAAATATTAGACGATTGATCACAAAGTTTGGGATCGAATTGTTTTTCTTTTTTTTCGAATTTAACAAGTTATAAGGACGCCACAGAGAGAAATATACTTAAAAGTTTATTTGGAACACAGAGCTTATTTCTGTGAAATAAATCTTACTTTTCTGTAAAATAAGGTTTACTTCTACGAAATGAACTTTTATCCCACACAAATGAATTTTCAAATATTTCCTTCTCAGTGTACTAAGAAAAAGAATACTTGAAGATTTATTTATGGGATACAAAGTGTATTTCTATGAATATCCCACAGATAAATTTCCAAGTATTCCTTTTCTCAATACATCCTCAAAATGCGAAAGAGAGATTAGAACGGATTTCGATACTGCCAAAAGCAGAAGTCGCAGATCGTACACAAATTAGATAAGAATGTAAATATTGATGGGGTATATCCGCTTAAGGAGGAAAGGGAGTTTCGTATTAACGATAAGCGATTCATTGATAATAAGCGAGCTGGAATATTTTTTTCGCCGCGTAAAGATAGGAGAGACGCTGTTTAGGCGGATTCGCGCGTATGTTTATGCCTGTTATCTTACGGATTTCAGATCGTCCGAGATGCCCAGATACTGTCGGCGCGAATGAATCACAGAGGGGCATGCGCCTGCGATAACGATACCGGCGACGGTGCTGGTGTGCTTTGCGCAATACCGCACGATTATTACGCCGATGAAATTCGGTAAGGCAAACGGCGAGGCGCCGCAAATCTTGTTCGCTCGCGAAATCAAACCCGGGATCCCTCGCAGGAACTCGCATACATGGAGTTCTAGATGTATTTATAAGTTATCGGATTGAATCGCGCCCGTCCGAGCCGGGCGCGCACGCACTTGGCCCTAAATACGGCGCCATCCGATTCTAAACCGCGCGAATGCGAGATCGAATGCGGAACGACGCGATTGCCAATCAAAAATCCGACAATCATTTCAGTTATACACATTGTATCGTACAACTACATTCACTACCAATTTTAATCAAATTTAAAAATTTTATATATATAATTATATTATAATAAATATATAATTATATATAATTAATATATATATATATAATATTTTATAATTTTATATATAATATTATATTTTATTTATGTTAATTTTATATAACATTTTTTATATTTAAAATTTTATATAACATTATATATAAATATTATGACTATCGATTATTCAGCCAATTTGTCGTTTTAACAACTTCATATACACGAAGAAAATATTGTAGTGAAAATTGTGGGAGATCGGCAACTGGGGTAAGTTAACAAAATCGATTATTTCTACTGTTTTTTAACAGATTTCAAAATCAAGCAAGCAGGAATTTTAAAGCCATCTTTGATATATTTCAAAATCTTGCTTACTTAATTCTATAATTTGTTATAAAATAGCTGAAATAATCGTTTTTGTCAGCTTATCCCGATAGCCAACTCAGCCCCTCAGCTTCCTTTACACTAAATTATAATCACGGTCGCCGATTGAAAATCCAAAGGTTATTTCAATTATATACACATTGTATCATATAACTACATTTGTTATTGATTTTAATTAGATTATATAATATAATTATATAAAATATATAATTTTATATAATATAATAATAAGTATAATTTATAATAAATTTGTATCTACATTTATACATGTAAACTTTTAAATATTTTATAAAAACGTTTCCAATATTTTTGTAAAGCTGAGTTATATTAAAATTATAATATAAATTACTGTAGAAAAACAGTACATCAATTTACAAGTACAATTTTACAATCTATCTGATATATACGACATATGAAAAATGTTCCATATGGGAAAAAAGGTTTGGTTGAATTAACCAAATATCTGGTCGAATATGAACGATCCAGAAATTCCGATTGAAGTAACTCGCATTCTGTTTAAGTCAACCAAAAATCTCGTTAACTTAAACAGAATTCGGATTACTTCAATCGGAATTTCTGGATCGTTCATATTCGACCAGATATTTGGTTAATTCAACCAAACCTTTTTTTCCGTGCAGTAATTACTATAATTTTATAGTAAAAAAATCAAAGATACATAACATCTTTAGAGCAAATATACAGCAATTTCGATCATAATTCTGTATGGTCTAAAATTACAAAAATTTTGTTGTAATTTTCACTAAAATATTTTCTCATAGCGTAACGCGTATTATATCGTGTCCAGATGCGATGAGAACGTCTAGAAAGACTAATGAGTTTTGGCTCGGCAAGTGTTGAACGTTAATTTCATTGAAGTTTAATGTACTCGTATCTCGATAAATCGCTCGAACGGCTCAGGATTTCGCGCGGATCCTTGGCACGATTCCGTGGATCCTTAGTCACTTTTCTTTCATTAGATTTCGAGATCTCCGCGACTCCTCGGTTTTCTAATCATCGATTCACGAGACCTTCATTCTATCACTTTCATAAAGCCATTCAACAGGATCGAACGAAATAGACAAGCCCTTCCTCCCAATATATATTATTTTTCCTCTACTCTTTTACAGCACGACCTTTCTAACAAATGAATACTATTAAAGACAAATTGAGCGAAACGAAAATTCAAATACAATAAGTCCAGACTTGACGAACTGATTCAATTTCGTTTCATATTGCAGCGAGCAGCAAGATGTCGAACTGCCCGAATTCGGGCGATATGCGACCGGTATCTTGTACCTCGACAAGAAATCCCACAAAGAAGCGGAAGCCGCGTTCGAGAAGCTAGCTGAAGAGTGCAATTTGAGCGTAAGATAATATTTTTTCAGTCATTTCATCGCTTGAGTGATCGCGCTTTTACACGCAAACAAAGTGTGACTATAATTACATAGAGAAATAATTGCTATAAATTATAGCCAAGGAAACCATGCTTTTTTTTTTTGTTAAATTCATTATACTCTCAGAACAACTTCCGACATTTTGTTAAATTTATTATACTCTCAGAACAACTTCACTCTCGTGAAGGCATAGTACGGATTAAAGTTAATATAAAAGTTTTATACCGTTTTGCAATAATTATCGAGATATTAATTAAAGAAGATTTTGTGAATAATCACGCCAGATATGATAGATGAGCTATACTGATGACATCTGCCGACGTGTGCTTATACATTAGGTCAAACTGAACAAAAAAGTGCTTTACTTTTTTCCTAATAACTTTGTAGATTTATAGTTATTAATTCGAGAACATTAATATATTATCACGCGAGTGGCCATCCACCGATCTTCTTTAATTAATGATTAAAAATCTTTATAAAGTTATAAGAAAAGTAGTAGAAAACATTTTTGCTCAATTTGACTTAATATACAGGGTGGTTCACTTAAATCGAAAACCTTGAATATTTCACTTATCTTCAATGATACGGAAAAATTTTTCAGATAAAAGTGAAAGGGTGTCGAGAAGGAAACATTTTGGTCAAGTTGCTTTTTTTCTAGATGAAGGCACTAAAAATATATGAAAGTCACCTTCACCTTTTTAAATGGAATTGTGATTTTTTTATAAATATGATTCCTCTATTTATTTTATGTATAAAAATACTAAGAAATATAATTGTCGAAAAATCAATAGTTTACGAGATATTTTATATTTTATTCTGACAAAAAATTTAGTCAAGGAGATGTTCAAAATGATGTCCTCTGACTTCAATACATTTTCAGATACGATACATAAATGATATTTTTACATTTTCTGAATTTATATTCGTACATGCTTCAAAAATACATTCTTTCATGTTCTTTCATGTAGTTGGTACATCATTGAAAACAATCTTTTTCAACGTTCCTCAAACAAAAAAGTCGATCTAAATATCGGAAAATGTATTGAAGTCGGAGGACATCATTTTTAACATCTCCTTGACTAAATTTTTTGTCAGAATGAAGTATAAAATATCTTAAACTATTTATTTTTCGGCAATTATACTTCTTAGTATTTTAATATATAAAATAAAGGAATCATATTTATAAAAAAAAAATAATAATTTCATTTTAAAAAATGAAAGTGACCCTCATATCTTTTTAGCGTCTCCAGCTAGAAAAAAACAACGTGACCAAAATGTGTCCCCCTCGACACCTTTCCACTTTCATCTGAAACATTTTTCTATATTATCAAAAATAACTGAAATATTCAAGATGTTCGATTTAAGTGGACCACCCTGTATAAGACATCGCCACTATTTATCTATCATATCTTATATTATTATTCATAAATCTTCTTTAATTAATATCTCGATAATTATTATAAATATCACAAAACGGTATAAAACTTTTATGTTCACCTCAATCCATACTCTCATGCTTTCCACGAGAGCTCCGGAGGTTATTCTGGGACATCCTTAGTAACATTAGCCATAATAGCCTTATATGCCCGTCACTATTGCCATTTTATTACAAAAAACGTAATTGAAGTAAAAAATAATAATAACTAATTTTTTGCTCTCAGTGTAAATACGCTCTGTCTAACGTATTCTCGAAATTGCGCAATTTGTAGGTGCTTTGTTGGCGCGACGTTCCTACCGATAATTCGCAGATCGGCCAAGTGGCGAAGAAATGCGAACCCTACATGCGTCAAGTATTCGTTACCGGCGATCAAGACGCGGAAACGCTTAAACGACAGGTAATTCACTTGACTCTTGAGTCTGAGTTGCAACTACTGCGTGCAGAGTCGGGGTCAATTAATTCTGATCGGCAAGCCTCGCTGATCCTCTCTTTCAACTCTCAGCTCTCGTAGATACGATCAAGACCGAGAACGAGAATTTGATTAATCGCAGTCGGACCGCGACTCGATCTAATCTTAGCGAAAGTGGCGAGTAATTAGACAGCGCTCGAAGTTAAACATAGAAACGGAAGAAGTTTCCAATAAGAGTCGTCCTTGTTTGACGGCTCGTTACTATTTTTCACGTGTTATCCTCGCCTGGTCGAATGTTTTCGAAGACTCCGCGACGACAATTAATTACCAGCGGACGAAAAAACGCACACGACGGCACTTTAGGTGACCAGGGTTAAGCGATTCGGTATTAAACGACTTCGCCAATTTATAAAAATAGAACACGGATTCGTCGTAAACAGTCGCGTTTTTCAAGGTCGAGACGCGAATCGGCCTTTAATTGCGCCACGTCTCACGATTGTGCCCGACTATGCTCGCCAGATATTCGTGCTGAGGAAGAGATCGTCGCACTCGATACCACAACCGGGGTTGCGATACTATATCTGCTCGTTGTCGCTGAAGACAGTAGTCTACAAGGGTCAGTTCACCGCCGATCAATTATGGCAGTATTTCACGGACTTGAAGGTGAGCATGCGCATCGTTTGTTCTCTTCTCTCAGTAAGCAGATCGACGACTGAGGTCGGCGGACAATCAGCAAATCAGCATGTACTCGTGGATATCGGCTAGCACGAAAAAAGTACACACCGATCAGAAACACCTGGAATTATACTGAACAAAATACTCGAAAATTTATTTGTCGAATATAAGGTAAAAGCACTAGTGTCCGGACATATAGCTAGTCCTGGACATTCTTATTCTCTTGATCTTAAAATATAAATATTTAAACTTTAAACAAAATATATATGAAATAGCATTGAGTATATACATACATTCTGTATTGAAAGTTTAATTCGTATTTAAAGACTAAAATAATAAAAATGTCCAGAATTAGATACGTGTCCGGGATTAATGTATTTACCTTAAAGTTTATTTCTGTGGAGTAAAGTTTACTTCTGTGTATGTGTGAATAAACTTTATATCGCGCACAAATAAATTTTCAAGTGTTGGGTTGACCCTTAAGTTCGTGCGGATTTTTGTCTAGTTTGGCATTCGCATATTGGTATTAGAAGGATAGTTGCCATCAGTTGACCATCAAACAGAATGGCACATATATTATTGATTAAAATAATTTTTAATAAGAATAAAATCCATTTGAATTATGTTTAAAAACTTCCACAAATTTTGGTTCAACCAAATACTTTTTCCTGTATCCAAAACGCTCATATTGAAAGCAACATACTTGAAAATCTATTTGTGGGATATAAAGTTTATTCAGAAATGAACTCTTTATTTCACAGAAATGAACTTTATATCAGGCAGATGAATTTTTAAGTATCCCTTTTCCAGTGCATTAAGCACTTCATTTTACTGAACGCAATTATCACAAATCAAGCCCGTCAGGCTTGACGTAAAACGTATTTCGCGAGGTCGATAATCTAATGCGAAATCTTTCTCTCTTCTTTGTATCAGTCTCCCAGATTCGAGACCTATCTGACGTTGGTGCACACGCGCTTCTCCACCAACACGTTCCCAAGTTGGGAGAGAGCGCATCCTCTTCGGTAAGTGTTGACATTAACAAGCATGATGTTTATACAAGATAAGACAAGATTTACACAAAGATAAGACAATTAATTTTAATTGTTGGTTGGTTAATGATATACAGGATGATCACTTAAATCGAATACCTTAAATATTTCACTTATTTTTGATGATACGGAAAAATGATTCAGATGAAAGTGGAAAGGTATGGAAAGATATGAAGGTCACCTATACTTTTTTTAAATGAATTATTTTTTTTTATAAATATGATTCCTCTATTTATTTTATGTATAAAAATATTAAGAAGTATAATTATCGAAAAATCAATAGTTTACGAGATACTTTATTCTGACAAAAAAATTTACTCAAGCAAATGTTCAAAATGATGTCCTCCGACTTCAATACATTTTCGGATACGATACATAAATGATACTCTTATATTTTCTATCATTTCTGCATTTATACTCATACATACTTCCAAAATATGTTTTTTCATGTTCTCTTGTGTAGTTGGCACATCATTGAAAACAATGTTTTCAATATTCCCCAAAAAAGTCGATGGGATTTAAATATATTGAAGTCGGAGAACATCATTTTGAATATCTCTTTAACTAAATATTTTGTCAGAATGAAGTATAAAATATCTCGTAAACTATTCATTTTTCGACAATTATACTTAGTATTTATATACATAAAATAAATAAAAAATCATATTTATAAAAAAATCATAATTCCATTTAAAAAAGTGAAGGTGACTCTTATATCTTTTTAGCGCCTCCATCTAGAAAAAAATAACGTGACTAAAATGTGTCCCCCTCGACACTCTTCCACTTTTATTTGAAATATTTTTCCATATCATCAAAAATAAGTGAAATATTCAAAGTGTTCGATTTAAGTGAACCATCTTGTATATAATTAATCATAAACCATATCATTAATTATTGAGGCAGCTAGTAGATAAAAGAAAATTCTTGACAAATTTTTCTTCAAATGCGGATTTCTGTTCGCGCGGTTTCATTACTCGATAGAGTCACAAGAAACTTTTATTCCATAAGTCAAAGTCCTTTTTTTTACATAGTAGTAGTCGATAAGGTGGAATTGATAACGATACGGAATGTTGCTATTAAAATTTTTCTTAAACGTCCATTTTTCCCATTTAAACTATTACAAAGTAGCTTTTCCTACGCAGTATATAAATAATTAATAGACAGACACTATTTTGAGTTTTTACCGAACAAGGCCAATGCGTTGCAATTAACTGCGCCGTTTTAACACTATCTTCCTCCTCATTTCTTTCGCGTCGTGCGTTCTTCTCCGAGGACGCGAGACGGATCTACGATTCGCGCAACGCAATGCAACACACTGCATTTCTCGCGTCTCTCGATTTGGCACCGCAATCTTCCGCGTTATTAATGAGATCAAGCTGCGATAATCTTGGCGGTATAATCGTTCCTCGCAGGATGTGTTCGGAAACCGCAGATACCTTAACGCGCCGTTCTTCTCTCGACAGATTGCTCGCCCATAACGGCGAAATTAATACCCTGCGCGGCAACGTGAACTTCATGAAGGCGCGGGAGGGTGTGATGAGCAGCCAGATATTCGGCGACCAGCTGAAGCAGCTCTATCCGGTCGTGGAGCCGAATCTGTCCGACTCCGGATCGGCGGACTGTGTGCTCGAGTTCCTGGTGATGGCGGGACAACGCTCCTTGCCCGAGGTAAAAATGCCCCTCGCGAGCGGGACTCCTGTTCCACGTCGAGACTGAATTCCACCACGTACGTGATGCCGCTCGATCTGCTCGAGCAATTAATCCAAGCTCTCGCTACACGCATCGGAAAGGAAATACTCGAGAACTTGTCTGTGGGATATAAAGTTCATTTCCACGAGTAAACTTTATATCCCACGAATAAGTATACAAGTATTCTTCTCCCGGTGCAAATCCCCGAACTCTTGATCTTCTAGATCTGCCCGTGGTTGCGGCGATCCTGTGTGGGTGCTAAACCCCACGAATTCTCATATCCGCGGTGCTTCAATCCCAGTTCCTGGCGCGTTCCCATAGATTCTGGATCGTATCTTTCGTGCGGATCCCTCCCTCTTCCAAACCATCCCACGTTTCAGGTGTCTCTTTATCTCGAATGTTACCACACTTCCGTAGACCGTCTCTGTGTCCCAAAAGATCCGGGAGCCGCGGATATGAGAGTCGACGCGCCGCATTGTCGATCTTCGCGAATCCCAGCAGCCGCGCTGCGATTCCTTAGCTTTGCGCAGCTTCCTGGTCCGCCGTGAGTCTCGGTCCACGTGCAAACACTTGAAACATCGTTACTGAATCCAGGCTGTCATGACGATGGTGCCGGAGGCTTGGCAGAATGACTTGACGATGGTCACCGAGAAGCGCGACTTCTACCACTGGTCAGCGTGCGCCATGGAACCCTGGGACGGCCCGGCTCTCCTCACCTTCACCGACGGCCGCTACGTCGGCGCTATCTTGGACAGGTAGAAAAATTTTCTGTCTCTCGTCACGTCGTTTACCACACGTTTCCACGTAGGCGCCAACTCCCTCTCGTTCGTGCCATCTGGTAATCTCCGCCTACGCATTTTACGCCCATAGATCCACGGGTCTGTGAGTGCCCGGATCGGCAAATGATCCGGGCGGTTTTGTGGGTTCCTGGATCTCTGGCTCCGATTGATCTTTAACACTTTGAATCGGCTCGCGGTGACACGTCGCGCATGCCGCATTTCGACTCGAATCGCCCCCGGCGAACTTCACGGTGTTCGAGAAGCACAGCGAAGATCAAGTGTGCGTGTGTATGTGTGTGTGCGCAACATTTTCTGTCCTCACACAATGCAGCTTATCGAAATTGAAACCCTCGAGTTTGCCAACTGAGGAATACGCTAAGTTATCAAAACGACGCAAATGCGGCGATAAATTTAGCTCTCAACTGTCCCAACATGCACTTAATTAATGCGAGAAACGAGTGCACGCCAATTCGCTACATATTGCACGAAGTTTCAGAAAACTGCTCGAGAGAATTCACTTAAATTTGCTGCAAGATGCACAGGTAAGCGAGTGAATTCTTCGCATTGAAATAATTTCGTGCAATGGCGGATCAATATCGACCAAACATTTCGCAGAGACCACCCATAGAGGAGGCTACTGATTAACTCGCGAAACAAGAGGCGAGAAATAAATAAAGTTTCACATCAGTAGAGACAAAATTCGCGTGGACGGTTAAGAGCTAATGCAATTAGAAAAGTCACGCGGTCTAATTAAACCCTTTGCTACCCTCGCAGTCTCGCGGTAATAAAAGACTCTCTCTTCTATTATCTCGCTGCTTCTACATTAGTAACGTGACTCGCTGTAAAAGTGCTTACGTGCTGTCTGACATTAGGTAGACTTGTTGGAAATCTGTCGGGTCGTTCTTTACGATTTTGAGAGTTTGTATTGGAGACGCAAAGGGTTGAATTGGGAGCAATATTCAAAGTGTTGAAAGAGATCTCCCCCTCCCTCCCCCCATTGAGGGAGAAACGAGACGAACGAAGGGACTCTGCGGTGTCGTTTGTTAGAGGAGCCGCGAAGAGAGAATGCTAGGCCACGCGTGGGCTTATTGCCTACGATTTGCAAGATGCATTCAGCAGGATTAACGGTGTTCACGAAATACATGAGAACGGTGCACACGTGTACATTTACGTGCCATAGAGATACACTCGGGTACAGGTAAACATGGATTTCTAAGGCAGAGGGAAATCGTGCATAACGAGCGAAATCGACAGAAGCATATCGTGCTTTTACTCTAACTTTGTGATTGGAATTCATTGGAACAGAGCGCACTGTAGAGCAATATCTTCTGTTCTTCAGAAGGATGTAAATTTTCTCGTAGAGATACCTTGATGAAAGCTGCTTCGGATAAGAGTCAAAGATTCGATTTAACTGAAACTGCACTCTTGTAGCATTGTTACGGGAGAAGACGAAATTTATTAAGAAACTGCGATACAGGACGATTGATACTTCACACTCGAAATTTCCAAAGTGTTTTAGACCACCTGTCGCGCGCTAATTAATTTAGAATTAAATGTAGAAAGTAACATTTAGCTATAATTGATAGTCAGCGAGTTTCTTATGAGATATCTATAGTTGCAAATTTATTCATGTCACATAAACACATAAGTTTATGAGAGACTCTTCTTCTAATATTTATATCTTTTTTTTAGTTGAAAGAATTTCACATGAAAAATTATCTCGAGCCAAATAAAAGAGTGTCGCATTCTCAAGACGAATATATTTGAAATAAAAGTGATCGTCTTCGACGTAAACAGAATAAGCGCGAATAGAAAATGAAAGCTGGAGCGATTAACTGTGATATTAGCCAACAATAATCCCGACCGCGGCTTCCCTCTGCCGTTTCTGTACAGCCGAAGCGAGAATCGATGTTTACGATTTGTGTCCATCGTTGTCCCAACGTGCCGCTAACGCAGGTAAATAGGGCCTAGGCCAAGAGACTGACAGGGCGAAAGAACGAAAGAGAGAGCGAGAGAGATGATAGAAAGAACGAAAGTATACGCGAATAAGCCAGCAGGAAGGCAGGCAAGCGAACGAACGAACAACAATGTAGTTCACAGCTGATACCTAGCGCGCGACACACAGGTGGTGAAATACAAAAGACCTTTTTGAATTTTTGTTTGGCAGAAACGGCCTGCGCCCGTCGCGCTTCTACGTCACTAAGGATAACATGATGGTGATGGCGTCCGAAGTGGGCGTCTATGATACTCCGCCCAGCAATGTAGTCCTGAAGGTAAACGAGGAAAATAAGCGCATCCCAACGCCGGTGATACCACGGGAGTCTCTCTCTGTGTCTGAGGCGGAGACACCTAGCTCAGTGTTTATGATTTCTCGACGAGTCACCCCGTAATCTTCTCTCCCCAGCCACCCTTTCATCCGCGCCTTTTCTCTCTGTTTCTCCCAGCATAGGAAAAAAAAAAAGCATTTCAGCTATAGAAGAGCGACGGAGGAGGCTCTAACTGCGCGAGCGCGCGCCCATCCGGCGGAAGTTGGACCCTCTCTAACCAAGGATCTCTCTCTCTTACGGGAAGCGACCGAAAGCCTGCTATACAATTGTACAAAAGCAATGCTTGCGCCTTTGATCACACGACAAGTCGCACTCGATTCGCGTCTCGATCGTTTCCCTCGCTCGAGGGCCTCGCCGGCCGGCCCTCCGACGATCGGAACTGCTCCTCTCGGACGCAACTCGATCGCCGAGAGAGCGAGAGAGAGAGAGAGAGAGAAAGAGAGAGAGCGAGTCGGGTGTTCGCGCACCCGAGAGTTTCGCCCTCCTACCGCGACTCTCGTCGATGACACTCTCGAGCGCGTATCCAGACGCGATGGAGCGCGCCTTGTCGACACATCATTGGGTACTCTTCTCGACGGTTCTCATCTGTCTCGTCGATTTGATTATTGTTATTGTGCCACGAAACATGACCCGCTTTGACCTCTCGCCGAGTCCTCGCTGGAGGAGGAGGAGGCGGCGACCGAGGGGTAGAACTTTCTTTATCGGGCAGGGGGAAAGAGGGAGGCGCGAGGGTGTTGTTTTGGCGTACAGTGAGGGCTGCTTCGAGAGCGCGGGAACGGGTATCGCGAGGCGCGTGGCTTGTTGATTCCGCGCGGAAGAAAAGTGGTTTTGCAGATTTATGGCTTGATAGTTGCATGCCTGCCGCAAATTTTGAGTTCCAGAAGGTCTTTGGTTACACGAATCGTTAATCATGTGCGTCCTTTGGTTACATGTTTATCCTCGACCAGGTTCTTGAATCCGTGGCGTCTTCGTTCTGGGATATGCAAGCACCGTCATACGATTTCTTTGGCACACGAGTCATTTTATATCTCATCGTGTCTCACCTGCGTCTAACAAATGCATCATTCATTGCGACATCTTGGTGCCTCGCCGGAAGCAACAAGCCTGCACCGTTCTCACCGAATTGTCCCGCGCTGACAAACTGCTGCATGCAGAACTTTCCGAATTGCATCGATGTGTCAAGGTGATGTTCGCGTATGTAACGAGAATGTCTCGATAAACGAAGTTCTACCGTGCAGACAACACAGTGTGAGACTTTACACACTTTACACTTGAGATCGCTCGTCGGGCGACTTTGTACGAACTCGATAGACAAAAAATATTGCCGAAACGACAATGTAATGTACTGGCACTCTGCCTTTACGAGCTGATGATCACCGATGGTGGCCACCGAAAGATGATCATCACTGACTTTGTCCCGGGAGAGACCCGGCGAGATCCTCAGATGCGTTCCCGCGTCCGTTCTATTCGCTTTACAGTGTCGTAGGGCAGCACTTGCCTCTAACGAAAGTGCGAGAGTAATGTATCTGAGGATCGTGGACGCGTCGATAGCACCCGTAGAGAGTCGGTAAGGGCAGGCTGTCACCAAAAATCGAGTCCGCAAATGCCTATTCGCTGTACATTAGTACATGTATGATAGCTAATTACATATATCGTATTTTATTTATTTTTTGATCATGTATCATGTATGATGTATAATTTGTCATCTAGGGACTAGGTTTGTATAGAGCTGTAGGACCGTCATCCAGTGCTGTCATATGAATGTCGATCACTCGACGTCGATCCCGTTCTATGGCGATTATTGGTGTCTTTTTTATTTGCAGAGTCGCTTGAAGCCCGGCCGAATGCTTCTCGTTGACACCGAAGAGAAGAGGATCATAGAGGATGTCGAGCTGAAGTTGCAGATCGCTCGTAGCAGGCCGCACTCCAAGTGGCTCAAGGAACAGGTAACTGGCACGCGCGGGACCTCTCGCCGATCGAGATCGATCCCCGATCAATGGCGGCCGGATTGTCCGATACGCGGTGGAATCTCTGGGCGTGTAGTCGAGAGAAAATGCGTACCTCGTGCGCGCGATTACACGAAATTAATCGGCAACAATGACGCAAATGATCTTTGGCCGCCGTGGCGAAGCACATTCTTATCTCGTTGAGAAATGTGCGATCTCCGGTTCTACATCGTGACCTGCTTTATCTTGTGTTTACTTTGTGTCCTGCTTATTTGAATTTAATTGCTTCATATCGGAGTCCGCTGTTCTCCTTCGCGAGAAAAAGAACGGAAATTCTGGCTCGAACAAGACTCGTATCGTAATATTCAGAAAGAGGCCATGATGTTAGCAACAATATTTCAATGTCAATTCGCGCGATGTTTCATATGACTAAGGTGAAAGTGCCAATGTCTAGACACCAATAACACTGTGATATGATGATAGCAATTCAATTGTCTTGGTCTTGAAATATTCGTATTTGAGGGAATGCTATACCTAAAAACATCACCTACAAAATACTAACTTTTTTTCTGCAAACTTTACATCGTATATCGATTACACAGAATTACCAATGCTTTTACACAATGAAAGTACATACAAAAATTCATTGGAGCATTGCTCAATACGTAACAAAAACAACAAAACATTTCAGGATTGACATCTCGAACTGTCAGCATTATTAATATTTACCTGATACAAAAATTTCGCAGCTAATACCAAACGTGTGTCTACTTAGCTCAAAAAATGTTATTTTCTATCGCTGTATCCTTACAATTGAATTTACAAAATTAGAATATACGAAAAGTTTGCAGAAAAACTTCTATATGTACATAGTTATGGTTTTGTTAAATACAATAAAACAAAGCAACACATATTTATATAAGATCTATATGTATATATTGAAAAATTGACATTCTTGTTCTTAGAAAAATGTCCTTAACTAGGCGCCAAGTGTAAAATATTCTAAACGTAATATTTATTCCTCTTGTTTTGAAAGGAAATTCTCTTTACAAGAAGAGAATTTCCTCTCATCATCCACACTTTGGAGCATTTTCTTGAAAACAAAAACAATTAGAATACCTAGAATTAGGTGCCAGTGTTATCAGTGCCCAGACATTGATGTTTGCATGAGTAGTAACAAGATCATCGCCATGCTTGTTGCATTCATACGCATAAGCGAATCTGTTCGCTTCCCCTCGTTTTCCCGTTAAACATGTCGCACGTTTGGTTGATTAACGCTTTTAATTGATCGAATAACACAATTACGCCTCCCCGTCGAACATCTAACACGTTAGTTCCGTTGATTCTAGCTGTCCCTCCAAATCGCGCAAATAACACGGTTGTGTTAGCTTATAAAATTGTCGCTGCAGCTTGCAAGAAAAAGTTCTAATGCCACGATAACTTTTTTTTCCCATTGCTGTACGTGCTGGTATCGTCGTGTACAGAGGGTGAGTCGTCCTGATTGTATATCACTATGACTTTACGACACTACGTGTTGTCTTTTGCTTGTACTAAACATTGTCGTATTGCCGTTGCCAAATTTTCCGAGTGTAGAATCACTTTTTTGGATCTCGATCCAATCGAGAGGAAAGAAAAGAAATTCTATTGCATGATAACAAAAATGTACTGATAGTACATGTACTGATAGTAATTAACGTCTGTGATTTGTGTACTCATTCGAGAGAACTTTTCATGCCCGATGAATAAAGTTCCGAAATGCATGTTCGATTGCAACTAGAGGTTGATTCTACTCTTCAAACTCTTTCGTAATATTGTAATACGCTTGTAACTTCGGCAGACGCGATAATTGGCGATTCTCTGTCGAATGCAGATCACTATGGATGAATTGCGCGCCGCGCACGTTTGCAATGTCAATGCAGGGAATGTGATCGAGAACAGGCAGTCCGTCGAAATCGCGAAGAAGAACGCTATCAACGACATAAACGGCGAGATTTCGGCCGTGAATAAAGTGTGGAGCGGCGACAAACGACTCTCTCTCTACGGCTACACTTTGGAAACCATCAATTTGCTACTTTTGCCCATGGTGCAGACCAAGTACGTTAATTTCTCTTCTTGTCGTTTTTTTAACGGTGCATCTCGCGCGCGTAATGTCATTTTATGGACAAGGATAAGTTAACATCATCTTAAATTTAAAAATTTATATTAGGCCATGTATATACACAGAGAGAACGATTTCAATGTCTAGGTATAGTATAGAATGGAGCCGTGTCTTGAATCAGCGATATGCCGACGTTTCGCAAACGTTGCAGTTTGCATCATCAGGGCTGAGAACTCTGATACTGAGCTCCCTTGAGAGAACGATTTATTGAATCAAATAAATATTTCTTTGGAATAGTCCAAACAAATTATTTGGTTGACACAATAAAAATATGTCTTTGTAACCAAGCTGCAAATAAATATTTTTGTTCGATCAAAAAATTCGTTTGGACTATTTCAAAAAAGTGTTTATTTGATTCAATCAAATCGTTCTCTCTGTGTATATAACAATTAATTTCAGGCATATATTTCAAATAAAATAAAACAATTGTAATTGTTGTAATTTTATAAAACAACGTATACGCCGTGTTTTATGATTTTTTGTTATTCTTTACATATATTATTTCATAAAATTATTACATAAAAATGTAATTGTTCTATTATATCTACGCTAAAAGAAAAAAAAAGAAAAATATATATTTATATAAAAATATTTATATTTGATGAATACTGTATATAATAATATATCTACCTGTACTAATATAAAATATTTTCAAATAAGGAAAACAATTAATTTCAGGCATATATTTCAAATAAAATAAAACAATTGTAATTGTTGTAATTTTATAAAACAACGTATACGTCGTGTTCTATGATTTTCTGTTATTCTTTACATACATTATTTCATAAAATTATTACATAAAAATGTAATTGTTCTATCATATCTACGCTAAAAGAAAAAAAAAGAAAAATATATATTTATATAAAAATATTTATATTTGATGAATACTGTATATAATAATATATCTACTTGTACTAATATAAAATATTTTCAAATAAGGAAATAAGGAATCTGCATTTTCTTAGCTTTTCATGAAAGTAATCATTTATTCTATTTAAAATAAAAGAATTTAAATTTAAATAAATATGTTATTAGTATATCACTAAATAAATATTTTTTAAATTTTTATATATTTTATTATTTTTTATATAAATATTTTTTTATTTTTTATATATCTTTTTTTCTTAAACAACGTAAGAAATCCACGATTATTTATTGCACAACTCACGATTATTTATTACACAATTTTTCGAACATTACAACAAGCTTACGTTATTCTCTACTCGATTTCTCGCGATTTCCTCACTGTTGAGTAATTCGATGTTATTTCTGACGTTGTTCTATCAATTTATAAATTTTTAAAGACTCAAGTTGAGCGATAAATATTCGTAGACAGAACCTGATTGCATACTGGTATCACGAAATCGTACGTTGTCATTGTTTCCGCGAATAATGCCTCAACTATCTCGCGATCAATATTCGCCGAATAAATAAATCCCGATCAATAAATGCCGAAAATTTCAGGAAAGAAGCATTGGGATCTATGGGCAACGACGCTCCCTTGGCATGTTTGTCGGAGTTTCAGCCGTTGTTGTACGACTACTTCAAGCAACTATTCGCACAGGTACACGATTTCAATAACTCAGCAAGCAGAATTTATAAAAAAAAAAAAACATTTGACGTATACAATTATATTAATTAACGAGTATCTTACAATCGATCTCTGTTTTAGGTGACTAACCCACCGATCGACCCGTTCCGCGAAAAAATCGTGATGTCGATGCTCTGCCCGATTGGACCTGAGAGCAATATTCTGGAGCCGAATGAATTGCAAGTGCATCGCTTGTTCTTACCACAACCTATATTATCGCTGACCGACTTGGAGGTCATCAAACATACGACTCACCGTGGATGGAGAACGAAAGTGATCGATATCACTTACCCCGTCGAAGAAGGACCTGCCGGATTCCTGAAAACACTGAACCGTGTGAACGACGAGGCGAATGCGGCCGCCAGGCAGGGTTATCAGCTGCTCGTGCTGTCAGATCGTCAGGGAGGCCCAATGAGGTGAGCTCAATCTGCAACACAAAGGGAATAAGGGATTTTAGAGGATGATGTCGAGAGAACGTGCGAAGAGAGCGTAAAGTAGTCTGCAATGTCTAATCGATCAGTCGATTTTAGAGTGCCGGTCAGCAGTCTGTTGGCTTTGGGCGGCGTTCATCACTATCTAATCGAGGAGCGACAGCGAATGAAGGTCGGCCTAGTCCTGGAGACCGCAGAGGCGCGAGAGGTTCACCACATTTGTGTGCTGCTCGGTTATGGAGCGGACGCTATATGTCCTTACTTGGTATTCGAGATGGCGAAGAATTTGAGGGCGGACAACGTTTTCGACGCGTCCTTCTCTGACAAAATTATCTACAAAGTGAGTGTCATAGAACGGAAACAGCCATCGCATGAGATAATTTTAATAATCGTTTCAAGAATAACTTATTCATAGAAGAAACCTTTCAGTGACATAATACACTGAGAAAAGAATACTTGAATATTGATTTGAGGAATATACAAAGTTTATTTCCGTGAAATTAACGTTTATGCCGCAAATCAATTTCCAAATATCTTTTTCTCAGTGCAAGAAGAAATAAGATAGCGTGAAGATGGAAATAAGAAACGATAACGTAAATATAATGAAATAAATTTTCTTTTTCAAGAAATATATACGATAAAGATGATGACAGATAGTTAATCGCTTAAATATTACAGAATTACGCGGAAGCCATGGAACGGGGAATCGCGAAAGTGATGGCGAAAATGGGAATCTCAACTCTGCAATCTTACAAGGGAGCGCAGATATTCGAGGCAGTTGGACTGGCCGACGAGGTCATCGACAAATGCTTCAAGGTATATACATCTTCCAAGTCTTGGTAATAATTTCTCTCATTTTCTTGTCTGCGCGTGTACACATGATTAGTAACTGGATCCAATTCATGATTATTTGATGATTCCAACTTTTCTCAATGATGTATCTCAACATTTCACTTTATCTCACTTGGTGCACGGTGAACGATACTTTTATTAACTATGTGTGCGTTCAATTCAGGGCACTCACTCTCGCATCGGCGGCGTGACGTTCGATATTCTGGGCAAGGAAGCTTTCGAGAGACACCAGATCACGTATTGGGAGAAGCCCATGGACCTGTTAGTGATCCGCAATCCGGGAGTTTATCATTGGCGATCCGGCGGCGAGAAGCATATCAACGATCCCAACAGTATGGCCAATTTGCAGGTAACAACGAGAAATTGCGAAATCAACGTGGTAACGCTCGCTGCAATATCGGCAATTTACTGCACAGAGAACACTACGTGTGTTTCAGGACTACGTCGTCTCCAAGAACCACTCGGCTTACGAAAATTACCGCAGAGCCACGATGGAAGTGGTGAAAGCCTGCACCCTGCGCGGCCAGCTTGAGCTGAATAAATCGCGCGATCCGATTCCTATTACGGAGGTGGAAGCCGCGTCCGAAATCGTGAAACGCTTCGCGACCGGCGCGATGAGCTTCGGCAGCATCTCCTTGGAGGCTCACTCTACACTGGCGATCGCCATGAACCGCATCGGCGGCAAATCAAACACCGGCGAAGGCGGTGAAAATGCGGACAGGTGAGAGAACGAGATGATTGAAATAACTCTTCACTCTCAAAAAACTCTTGATTTAAAGACACCGTGAGAGACACCCTTAATTTCACGTTTTACTGGATATTGCGTGGAAAAAAAAATTTTGATTGACTTTTTGAATTAACTTAATATCTGGTAAAATATGAACAAATCTGATAATTTCAACTGGAATTCTGGTTTGTTCATATTTCACCAAATATCTGATTAATTCAACCAAATTTTCTTTCCATGTAGAAATTATAAATTAAAGATCAGAATAATTCGGTAATTCTCTACTAACTTCAACTTTGGCTTATTTTGTCCCGATTGATCAAATTCTAATTTTCAATCATAATCCACCGCACACAATATAAAATATATTCATCACAAGTTTTACAAAAGCTCACGTACTCAAAAGCAAAATTTATTTTCTTTACAAGAATATTATAAAACTTTATCAAAAAACAGATACGATTCGACTGTATGTAGTAAGTAAACCAGTTTTGTTTCAATTTTTTTATTGAAATGTTAAGCTTACTAGGATTCAGAATATATTTTGTATAAATTTGATACTTATGATGAATTTGCGATAGACTTGCGGATGTATAAACTTACGAAATACTTGAAACATTCGCTTGAGTAGAGTATGTATTTTTGTTGTGTGTACGAATGGTTTTTTTAACAATTCGAAATTACAGAGATAACACGTCCAACCCTGCCTCTCCACAGATATCTGAACCAGGATCCAGAGTTCAGCAAACGCTCTTCTATCAAGCAAGTGGCGAGCGGTCGCTTTGGCGTGACGGCCAGCTACCTGGCGAACGCAGACGACCTGCAGATCAAGATGGCACAAGGCGCAAAGCCGGGCGAGGGCGGCGAACTACCCGGCTATAAGGTTACAGCGGAGATCGCCGCGACCAGACACTCCGTAGCAGGAGTCGGCCTGATCTCGCCACCACCGCACCACGACATCTACTCCATCGAGGATCTGGCCGAGCTAATCTACGATCTGAAGTGCGCCAATCCGAATGCCCGCATCTCCGTCAAGCTAGTGTCCGAGGTAGGAGTGGGCGTAGTAGCCGCTGGCGTCGCCAAAGGCAAGGCCGAGCACGTGGTGATATCCGGCCACGACGGCGGCACCGGCGCCAGCAGCTGGACCGGCATCAAGTCCGCCGGGCTGCCGTGGGAGCTGGGCGTCGCCGAAACGCACCAGGTACTGACTCTGAACAACCTGAGGTCACGCATGATCGTCCAAGCAGACGGCCAGATGCGCACGGGCTTCGACATCGTGGTGGCGGCTTTGCTCGGTGCGGACGAGTTCGGTTTCAGCACCGCGCCGTTGATCGCCATGGGCTGCACGATGATGAGAAAATGTCATCTGAACACTTGCCCGGTGGGCATCGCCACGCAGGATCCGATACTGAGGAAGAAATTTGAGGGAAAACCGGAGCACGTGGTGAACTTCTTCTTTGCGCTGGCTGAAGAGGTACGCGGAATTCAAGAACTCTTATTTGGTCGCTTTCTGTCTAATTTGTCATTTCCTTCATTCAATTCTTCATTAATTTACGTAATGCAAATTTTATAATATAAATTACAAATTGTCTCACTCCAAAATCAATCGTTTTGAAATAGCTAAAGAAAAGAACTTAATGATTGTCTGAAAGACACTCTCTTTACACAACTAACACATATAATACAAATAATATACAAATAGTATAAGTTGTTCTACGAAAATATTACTTTTAAATTTCATTAAAATTACAAAATTGATAACTGAAATCATTAAAATTACAAAGTTGATAATTGAAATTAATCATTTATGTAACGTAAACTCTCACATAAGTTGCAAATAGCCTCACTTGAAAATAAATCTTCAAATATCTTGAGAAAAGAGAAGAACGTAAACGACGATTCAAAGAAACTACGCATTATAGAAACACAAATGTAATGTAAACCATGACTAAGTTTACACGGCAACTTAAAACCGGTTTAGTAACTACCGCAGTTAGTAAAACTCTTGAATCCGATTAGAGTATATTTCTAAATCTAAAAGAATATACCAATCGGATACGAGAGTTTACTAAATACGGTTGTTACTAAACCGGTTTTAAGCTGCCGTGTAAACTTAGTCAATATAATAATCAATTATTCTACGATAATATATGGAATTTAACTGTGACAGATTCAATGAATCCTATCTAATTTCCTTGTTCCTCAATTCGCAGGTACGTTCGCACATGGCTAGCCTGGGGATTCGGAAATTCCAGGACCTGATCGGACGCACCGATCTCCTCAAGGTGCGCGACGACATCAGCATCGAGAAAGCCAGGACTCTAAACCTCAGCAATATCCTGCGATGCGCGCTAGACTTGAGACCCGGCGTGAATATCAAGGGTGGCACCATGAAGCAAGACTTCCAGCTGGAGAACAGGCTCGATAATAAGCTGATTCTACTGGCCGATCCTGTTTTGAGGGGAGATCACTCGACATCGTGTCGACATCGTGTCGACATCGCAATGAACATCAACAACGAATGCAGAGCGTTTGGAACAACTCTGAGTTACCATGTAGCCAAGTAAGCATCTCAATATTCTCGACTTTTTCTTCGAGTTTCGCGAGAAGACTCAGTGAAGCGACACGCGCAGTAATTTCTGTTGTTTACAAAAAATTTCACTAAGCGTCTACTTATTCTCGCTTATCCTTGTAATTGCTTCACAGGCGATTTGGGGAGGATGGATTACCCGAGCATAGTATCAATATCAAAATAAAAGGCTCAGCGGGTCAGAGTTTTTGCGCTTTCTTGACGAAAGGTATCCACGTCACCCTCGAAGGCGATGCCAATGATTACGTCGGCAAGGTATAAAGAAAAGTGCAAACGAATCTTTTAACTCCTGGCTATTCGCCAGTATTGAATTATGACCTCAGAAGCGTAAAATGACACGCTGAGGATTCTTGCATACTATTTCCAAATAAAAAGATATTAGCATGAGAGAATAATTCTGACCGCTTAAACATACTTATGATAACAATGCAAAAATAATCATTTTCCTTTGACAATCAATAAATAGCCATCAAATTAACATAATATGCAATCTCCTTCTTTAATCTATTTTTCCCATAATTTTATTTTCCCACGTTTATTTTATGGCTATTTATTGACCATTAAAAGAAAAGGATGGTTTTTCAGGAATTTTTGGCATACGTTTCCTTGCTTCTGACGTCATGAATCCAGAGTTCCGCAGAGAATTCCTAAGAGCCTTAAATTGCGAAATTCACGATATTTAAATCTTTCAATCTGGTTCACAACAAGCGAACTGTATGCAATCGATTCATATCGTATTAAACCTCCGAATATTAAAAAATCGAACGTACATGTAAACAAAATTTGCCTTCATCTGCAGGGACTCTGCGGAGGTGAAATCGTCATATATCCTCCGAAGGACTCCGACTTTAACTCAGACCTGAACGTGATCGTCGGAAACGTCTGCCTCTACGGTGCGACCTCCGGCAAAGCTTATTTCCGTGGTATCGCTGCCGAGAGGTTCAGCGTGCGCAACAGTGGCGCAGTGGTCGTGGTCGAAGGCGTAGGTGACCACGGCTGCGAGTACATGACCGGGGGTTGCGCCTTGATTTTGGGTTTGACTGGCAGGAACTTCGCGGCCGGCATGTCCGGCGGAATCGCGTATGTTTTGGATGTGGACGGTTCTTTCAAGAGCAAGTGCAACCCCGAGATGGTGGAGCTACTGCCACTGAACAAACCCGAAGACATCGCCTACGTGAAACAGCTGCTGGAGGAGTTCATCGAAAAGACCGGCTCCTTGATCGCGCAAAGCTTGCACGCCATGTGGCCGGAACCGACCACGAGATTCGTCAAAGTGTTCCCCTACGAATATCAGCGTGCCTTGAAACAGCTGGAAGAGGCGAAGACGGTCACCACCACCGTGGTCAACGGCGACTCGAAAGTGGCGGATGAGAAAACGAAAGATATAGAGGACACGATCGAGGACTCGGAAATGGCGCAGCGCAAGTTAGACAAGATTAGAGGCTTCATGAAGTACTCGCGCCAGAAAGGCATGTACAGATCGATTGAAAAACGTATGGAAGATTGGGACGAGATATATAATTTCCAGGGTGTCAGAAAGACCCTGAAAGTGCAAGCAGCGAGGTGCATGGAGTGTGGTGTTCCTTTCTGTCAGAGTAGCCACGGCTGTCCGTTGGGCAACATCATCCCGAAATGGAACGACCTCGTGTTTCACTCAAACTGGAAGGAGGCTCTGAATCAATTGTTGCAAACTAATAATTTCCCCGGTGAGTTGAATTCACCTTTTCAAAACTTTCGTTCAGCGTTGGACATTGATTAGAATTTTATTTGACTAAAATAATCGGTAAATCAATAATCGAAATAAATCAATCATCATATATGTAATCACACATACGAATAATTTAATCGATCGATAAAATTATGCATAATGATCAATAAATGTGTACATATATAATGAATAATATCAAAATTTAATTAATAATTACTGTCATCACAATCGATTAAGTTATTTATAATTTTATATATGTCGATCGATTAATTTTGATTATTGATTTGTCCATTATTTTAAGTTCGCGTTAATAGTTATTACTTGAAACTCATCTCAAGTAAGATGCTCAGACTTAAATTCAAAATTAAATGAGAATTCTTCGGTTAAATCACGATTAGATATATAAATATCACATATATTATAATTCAACTGAAAAACTTAATCCTCGTTCGGAATAAAAACTTAAGTATCTCATATAAGACCAATTTCAAGTGACAACTATTAATATGGGCCTTAGTCAACTGATATATTAACTGATCAATGTCCAAAACTACTTTCGTTTCTTTGCACGGCACATTTTATATTTTTTTTCGTTTCCTTTTTACGTCTAATAAATTCTCTAAAAAACTTGAAGTCGATTTCTCTTAGACAAATACTTAATGTGAAGCAATTCTTACAATCAATTTGTATGTCGTATCAAATATCTATACAAGTTTGTCAGCAAGAAAAATATATGTAAACCTACTCTTTATTTTTTCACTATCTTGTAGTTTGATGATGTTCAGTCATTTTCTTCTGCTCTGACAACTCAGTTACGTGTTACTATTTCATCAATAATTGCAATAATTTAGAGTTCACCGGAAGAGTCTGCCCCGCACCTTGCGAGGGTGCGTGCGTATTGGGAATCTCAGAGCCGCCGGTGACGATCAAGAACATCGAATGCGCGATAATCGATCATGCGTTCGAGCAAGGCTGGATCGTCGCTCATCCGCCGACCAGAAGGACCGGTAAGAAGGTCGCTGTGGTGGGATCTGGCCCGGCTGGATTAGCTGCTGCTCATCAGCTGAACAAAGCAGGCCACATGGTGACCGTGTACGAGAGAAACGACAGGGTCGGTGGGTTGCTACAATACGGAATACCGACCATGAAGTTGTCGAAACAAGTCGTACAGAGACGGGTTTCCCTGCTCGCTGCGGAGGGAATTATCTTCAGGACAGGCGTCGACGTCGGCAAGGACATTACGACGCAGGTACGAAACCACGTGTGTAGCAGCAGTTTTATAAGGCTGTCGCATAATTGTCTCCTATATTTTGCGACGAGATTATCGCCTGAAATGTCTTCCTGTCTCGATGTGGCTGATTTGTCCACCTTGACGAATTTCTGTTTGACAACAATGCCAATCACAGTCTATCGGTTCGCCCGTGTAACGATTTGACAAGTCGTGTACATTGCAGGAACTTCGGGAACAATACGACGCGGTATTGTTAACTACCGGCGCGACATGGCCGCGAGATCTGCCTATTCCCGGCCGGAGCCTGGAAGGCATCCACTTTGCCGTCAGCTTTTTGGAGCACTGGCAGAAGAAACAAATGGGAAACGCCGCGCCCCTCGACATGCGACTGCTGGCCAAGGACAAGGACGTGATCATCATAGGAGGCGGCGATACCGGATGCGACTGCATCGCTACCTCGTTGCGCCAAGGCGCGAAGACGATCACGAGCTTTGAGATCCTGCCTACACCGCCGGAGCAACGTGGAAAGGACAATCCATGGCCTCAATTCCCGCGGGTGTTCAAAGTGGACTACGGCCATGAGGAAGTGTCCCTGAAATGGGGCCGAGACCCGCGTAGGTACAGCACGCTGAGCAAGGAATTCTTGGACGACGGACAGGGCCACGTGAGCGGCATCAGAACAGTGTCCGTGGAATGGACGAAGGACGAGAACGGCCGATGGAAGATGAACGAGGTGCCGAACTCGGAGAAGATATACAAATGCAACCTGGTACTACTCGCCATGGGTTTCCTCGGACCCGAAAAGTACATTGCCACGGAACTGAACACTGAGCTCGACGAGAGAGGGAACTACAAAACTCCAGCTGGGAAATATCACACCAGCTTACCCGACGTATACGCGGCAGGCGGTTGGTATTGCACATTATTGCAGTATCTCGCTATAAATACATGCTTGTGTGGTTAACCTTAGACTACTAGCATCTTTTTTTTATGCTGGTTACCAATATTTGGCGAGTATTCCTCAACGATTTGCTTTCAGAACTTGTTTTCTGTTGAAAACAACAGGAAGTTAATAAGAAAAACGAATAGTAAATAAAATATGTTATCGAAAATCTACATAAATGAGACTTCTAACGAATGGAAGGGATAGTTTCTAAAACATATCCTTCAAAAAGGCGGGTATTAGTAGTCTACGGTTAACTATGCTAAACTCAAAGCGAATTCTATTCCTCCAATCTATTCGTCTAATTTAGGTCACCCACAAGAACCAAGTATCGCTACAATTTCTGTCAAAATTATATTAAACTTATAAATGATATTTACCGAGGAAGCTAAGATATAAATCTTTTTGTGTATATGTTTCTTGAATTGTATTAACTTCCAACATGAAAGCTAAAATTAGACGTTAATTGCAAAAGCAGGGAATATTTGTTTGTCGTTACTACATGTATGTTTCAAAATAGATTGCAGACGTGGACAGTCTCTCGTAGTGTGGGCGATCTCGGAGGGTCGATTGGCTGCGAAGGAGATCGACCTGGCCTTGATGGGGGAAACCGGCCTTCCCGGAAGCGGTGGTATCATTACCGGCGTTACCGCTTAAGGATCTTCGCGATGGATGTTGGTCTTCCAGTTAGAATACGAAAAGACCTACCGCGTACGCGTTCCGCCAGGAACGAGTCATATCGACTGTTAGGAGGTGAGAAGAGAGTCCTCGAAGATTCAAAGATGCAGAATGCGGGATCTGAGGATTCAACAATTCCGAAAATCCCGGAAGGAACGAGCCTAGAATTGTAGAGTGTCTATGACTCAGGAATCTTCGAAGAATGTAAACATTCGGGAATCCGAGGATTTGAGCTATCGACAGTTCGAGGAATTGAATTTTGGCAATTCGAGGATCTGTAGTTCCTCGGATATGGTGATGCAAAGAGAAATAGTAGACGGGATAATTAAAAAAAAATTTTTTGAAGATTTTGATGGTACAATAATCTTAAATCTGATGACGAGGAAACTCGATTGCAACTTCTAGGAATCCGAGGAACTATACATCTTGGGGTTGAAGGATTCAAACATTTAAGAATCTAATGACGAGAAAATTAAGAACGTATGTATGTTACTGATTCCTAAAGGAAATAATTTAAAAATTCAAGGATCCAAAAGTTGAAAATCTTAAGAGTAAAATAATCTAAAAGTCTTAGCATTTAAAAATTCGAAAACCAGAAATCTGAGTATTTGAAGATCTCGGTCTCGGTCCAAAAAAAAGATTTAATATTGAACATGCGAAAAATAAAAAAAAATTATATGATATAAGGAAAAGGATCCATGATATTTGATGACGACAAACTGCAAATCCATGGAGCTAATGGATTTGAAATGAGGAGATTCTCAGATCACGAGCTGAGAATGTGATAATCAAGTGAGAAACGAGAAACGAAGTAAGATAATTTCGTTGCGCGAATCTCTCCGTGTCAATAACGGAAATATTAAGTAAACGTAATTCCGTAACGTAACGTAGTAAAGTCGTCTAACACAAGCGTTTTGTTCGTCCAAATAGAATTAATTACGCGCGTGAATTAGAGCTTCGGGTATGAGGAGAGACCGAGGCGAACTGTAGCAGGACATTACGTTGTACATTATACGCGGCTCACTCCGCTAAGCGAACCATTTTAACATACAACCGCGAATTTGTTCATTTGAAATACAAAATTCGGATGTTCCACTGAAGCGCTATTTATCGAGTACATCTGTATACGAGATTGTTTCGCGTTTCCAATTACACGCAGCGAATATCAAGAGGTTGATAATATTCTCAGTCAGTCTCTTATGCGTATATTTTAGATTTTTTAAACACAATTATAGAACTATTCCTTATAGAATCGTAATCATTAAGGAAATATATTATACACAAGTACAAGAAGAGTATTCGTGCATCTAAAAAAAACAATGCAACACGCATCTGTGACGTTTATTATGTTGCAACGTGGAGCAAATATTGTCGCTTTTAAAACAATGTATCTTAGATTATTGTATATTTTATCATATCATTTTATTATACTATCAGATATCAGTGATTTTTCTTCACAAAATTCCCAATATCGAATTGTTTGTTTTAACATGTAGTCTCATTCTAGAAAATTGCAAGTTACTATTTAAAAATTGAAGACACAAACATAGAGAGAGAGAGAGAGAGAGAGAGGGGAAGGAGAGAAAGGGATCAACGAAAATACGAAGATATACGAATACTTTTGTTGTACGACATTTATTTTTTGTTCATCATCAATATATGATGTGTATTAGCATTTTTGACGTTCGACTTCGATTCTAGGCGATCGCCTAGATTGCCTATCATATCATTACGAATCTGCTTGTATTATCGGCAAGATGAATTACACAAGTTACCGAAAGATCATAGAATAGCATAAACAATAAGAGGACAATGTAGCACTTGTACTATATAATATCGTCCGCTGTAATTCCATTGATAATTCCGTCAGTTAATTCAACGTCGTGTTTCTTCAAGCCGATTAGGAGCGATTTGTCGACCTTTTAACCGCGATTTTAATCGTCAATTAAGCACGATGATTGTATTGTCTCCTGACTCTTTCAAGAAAAGGAGCAACATTATTCAAGGATGTCAGTGATCGTAAATGCTGGATAAAAAAAGACAAGGGCGGTGAATGCAAAGGAAAAAGATAACGTAAAGGTAAAGGCCTTGGTCCAGATGCTTTGTGTAACGAAATTGTAAGAATTGGATACGATTGAAACGGAACATTAACAAAGATTGTGCGTGAATGCGACATGCAGCTATGTAACAAAAGATCGAAACTCCCCCTCAATTGAATATTGCATCGGGTGTAGTTAACCGAAGTACCTATCTTCCCAATCTTACGATTATACACGATAGGAAAAGCGGAGAAACCTCAACTTTGAAATTCGATCGTAGATTAAGAATAATAAAACGACGATGACTTGCGTTTAAAACTGAAAGCAGTGCGAGATAAATCGGCAGTATCGGTTAAGGGATTAATGTATACATATATTTACTGAAGGTATAACGCGCAATGAAACTTTCGCGAGCTGAAGATAATGCCGTTGAAAATTGCGTTCACATAAACTACAGTTGCACTCTTAGGCGCATTAGGGAGAAGGAAATTAGCGTTTTTGATCGCGTCACTTTTCGCAAGGTCCATTACGGAGAAGAAAAACCAGTTCCAGGCCCTAAGTTGAAAAATTTTCCACCGGGAGCTGATCTATTATCAACGACAGAGAAGGAGTGAACGTCTCGTATTTGGACGCGGTTTCTTTGTAACGCGATTTGCCTTTTATTTATACCATTGTAAATTTCAATACACACAATATCTTGAGACAATAAATATATATTGAATGTTACGAGCAACAGACGCGTATTATCTCGATCGACTCTGTACTGACGTCGTGACGGACAGAAGGACGAGGCGATCGATAGCAAAAATGCCGAGAGCTTCGCGGCGCAACAGCCACGCAAGCTCACGATCCGTATCGCGCGACTCGGAAATTGAGAAAGAATTCTTGCCAACTCCTTCTGGAACCCCGAAAACGAAGCGGCGGGAGATAGCCGAGGGGGATAACGCCAGTTATATCGTCGACTATATTCGCGAGGAGATATTTCGATCGGCCGCGGATGCAATTTACGAAGGTTACTTGCGAAGAGCGGTCTACAGCTTCGTCACTAACTGCATGTACGAGGCTTGGATGCGCGCATTTCGGGTAAGGTCATGTACCAAGCCCTGGACACATACTCAATTCTAGGTGTTCTTATTGTTCCGCTCTTCAAATATAAACATTTAAACTTTCAACGTGGAATATAAGAACTTTCAATGCAGAATATATAAATATATTTTATATCGCAAACTTGGTTATTAAATATTTATTATTAAATATTAATATTAAATAAATTATGTAATATTTAATATTAAATATTAATATTAAATAAATTATATAATATTTAATATTAAATATTAATATTAAATAAATTATGTAATATTTAAAATTAAATAATAATATTAAACAAATTATGTAATATTTAATATCAATATTAAGTTTAGATATGCAAATATTAATATTTGAAGATCATAATGTTCTTGTCAGAATTAGGCGTATGTGTCTGGGAATTGGTGCTTTTAATGAAAAGGTCATATACGACCAGGCGAATTGTAAAAAAAGAAGATGAAGACAGAACTTGATTTTTGCCGGCGTTGATTCAGAATTACATCAGAAATTTTATAATTTTATGAGCCAGCATATGACACAGCTAATTTTATGCCACAATACGATACATGAAATGTTTCATATATTATTTTAATTCATTTTACATCGTTGATACTCGTTCAAATTAAGATACGGAGGAAATATCATAGTAAAAATTGCGACCAAATTTCTATAATCTTGCACCATACCAATTTAAATTTTCAACATAGAATGTGAAAATGTGTATTTATACAGGGTCAGTCACCTAACGTTAGATTTTAGAATATCTTTATGGCTTTTTATATTAGAGGAAGGAAATTAATACTTTTACACAGAGAAAACATAGAAAAATTATATTAAAATTGTCTCTTTTTACACTGTTTTAGTAAAGCTAGACTATACTGGAATTATAATATAAATTACTATAAAAATAATAAATTTGACGATCTACCTAATGCACAATATAAAAAACATTCAAGTAACTACAATAATCTTATGGTAAGAAATCAAAAATTGTTTTGTAATTTTTATCACAATATTTTTTCCGTATGACAATCTAAAACAAAAAACATCAAGAATAAAATAAAATAATCTATATAAAATAGTCTATGAAATTTTATATAAGCATCCATCATATTGCTTGTTAAAATTTTTAATGCAATTAGAATCTGATATCTCGAATCAACGTTGGTCAAAATTAATTTCTCGTTCAACTCTTCTATTATAATTGGCCTTGTCTCGTATCATTTTTTTATTTCCTTCTGCAGTGGGTGCATCTAGAATATGACAACGGAGAAATATCTCCTTCGACATCAGACAGTCGGATTTCGGACGAGGCATTGGACGAAAAAGATCCTCGACTACGTCGCGGCGTGCCAACGGTATACGGACGACTCGAAAAAATAATTTCAGTTCAAAAGTCGCCGAGCTACTGCCGATCGACTGTCACGCGAAAGGCGCGTCGCAAAAAAAAATTAAGCAGTTAAACACAAAGACTGCATAGATGGCAACGATAATTATGCGGATCAATTAAAAATTATGAAAAAATCATAGAGTTTATGATCATTTCTTGAAGCGGGATACAATATTGGAGCAATTAAATTTCCAACGACACGAAATGCCGATTCGATCGTGCGAGGATCGATCACGTGTCTCATCGGTTATATGATTCGCGCAAAAATCGCTCGACAGCTGATATATCACGAAATCGTGAAGAAACAGCTGTTAAAACACGATCATTGTGCGGCACGCAACAGTTCTACACGTATATAACATAAGCGATAAATTATGAATTATTCATCCGAATCTCTGGCCGATGATCTCACTCACCGAGTCGTACGTGCCGCCAAAACGGCCGACCGTGGCGACAACTTCAGGCGGGGAGCGCGCTGCTCGATCACGTTCAGACCGCTCACTCACACGAACACGAGTGGAATCAACCGTCGATCGATGCGTCCCGACGATAATCCGCTGCATCCGCTGCGGTCGCAACACATTGCTCGGCGCCCGGGACGTATATTCGCGGACGAAGGGAAATGCGCGATAGAACTCTCCTCATACACCGACACGTAACGGTCGCGGCGCGCGATAGGACGCCGACGCCGCACTTGCTCGATCCACCTGCCGGCCGGAGGCACTCGCTCGCCGTAATCCCGGCTTCCCGACGAGAACTCGACGCGAATTCCACGCGACGCGCACGCAGACCGTCACTTGGTCACGCGAGTCTGCCGTGGGGTCGCCTGTGACCAGCGAAACGCGCGAAAATCACGGAGCTACTTCGCCGCGACTTCGAACGGGAATGGCGCGCCGCGGCCGACTACGCATGCGCGACGCTAGTACGCGAAGGTCGGCTAGTCAATTGAGAGACCGCGCTGCGTTTCACTTTTTATTCCTCGACGTTCTCACTCGATAATATCGTTGATATGATATTAAATAAGCCGAGAAAGCGATCTCAGAATTTTAGATAGATGTTCGTGCTACGTGAGGGTCTCGCACCCAACGGAGATTCCAATAAGAAGTACTGCACTTGAGCTACGGCGACATCTCGAAGAAGACGCTCCGAGCAACAATGAAATTCCGTTGTTGCGAGTTTATCACGAAGCTTAGATTAGCTGATCTCGCGATTCCTTTGCACTGATGACGAGATAGGAGCGAAAAGGTGAGTTTGCCCATCGAAGTCCTAATGAAGCAAGCGCTCATTGGACGATTCGATGTTGGCGATGCAGTCTTGAGTGAACTTGAACATCGCAAGTGCAACATCTTAACCCCTCAAAATGACCTATTTTTGTAACAATCTTGTAATGTTTATCTGGTCGATTTTCCTTATCTCGTATCTGTAGGCAGTAACGGTCGAGACGGGAGAAACGCGCACACCTCGCGAAAAGTTAGGTTAAACGCGACATCTAACGTGTAGTTACTCTTGTCAAAAGTGTCAAACTGCGTTTATTCATAAAAAATGCCGATGGCACGGCAATCGAGTCGAGTTATAAACGACCAAGACTGACCACGCTGGAAATTTTCGCGCTGTCATCTGTTGTCAACTTCATGCTCAGCTGATATTGATTGCCTCCGCCGATTTTCTCCGATTCTTCCGCCTCTGCGCGATATCAACGATCAGTTCTAGTCGCGCTTATGACTCGAGGACTACATATTTCGTTGCTCCTTTATTTTGTACCTGAATTACCTTCGACTTTCTAATCGGTCTTCGCGCGCACGAAACGCCCTACTGAAACGCTATTAACGATTTTAGAGAACAGGGGTTGAGGATTTGACTCGATCCGTTTCTATCTCCTATGCTTCAGATAGAGAGAGATATCACGCAAAACGACGCGGTTTTGTTGCCACTGGAATGGAGAAAAAAAAACGCGATCATGTCCGTGCATCAAAAGCATCGATATCTGTGCTCATCCGAAAATATATCGCTGTTAAGCCCTGATCGTGATTACCTTCCACTAACATATGGCACACACCGCTCGACACAGTGTGCGTTGAGATCAATAACCATGACAATCTCAATTTCTACGAGATTTAGGCATTTTTGTTCGAGCGATCTGTATCTCTGCGCGAGGAGAAAGCGCGTCGCGAGATACATTTTCACAAAACGCGAACTCGTGTCTCCCTCTTTCATTTGTGTCTCTCTCTCTTTCTCTCTCTTTCTCTAAGTTTTAGTTCCGTGTAGGACATTAACTTTCGGGATCTTTCATTCTCCCTCTTTCCCCCTACTTCTCCCCTCTCACTCGCACCACATGCACTCTGTGTCTCTCTCTTTCTCCCGAGCGATCCCACACGGTCCCGCTCCAGAGTTCAGCGGAATATTCCACGGACGAGGGGTGGCATCCTCGTCTGGTAACAGGCGAACGGATAAAACCGTCCTCGTCGCTCTCACACCGTAAACTCCGTGCCGTTTCTAACTATTCGCTTCTCTTTACAGCCTCCCCGCGCCCATCGTCCATCACGCTTTTCGCACCCACTCTCCAACGCAACGGAGCCTAGATATTTTGGCAGCCTAATAAAAAAAAAAAGGACTGTGCTCATTGCTATGGAAATTCATCTTACCCTTGTTCTGTCTCTCTTTCAGTAAGGTAAGAAATGTTAACAACAAAAAACTTGTGTCTTAAGATAATTTAATTAATAATTATCAATTTGAAAAAATGAAAATTCAGGATCAGAGTCAATATATGATCAGTTAAACCGAAAATAAAAAACTTATAATTATATGAACTACTCAACTTATAACTATATGAATCTACTGACTATACAAGAAATATCAGCAAGGAGATCTTATTTTAAAATAATTAAATTAATAACTATCAATTTAGAAGTATAAAATATATTATTATATATTAAAAATAGGAAATATAAAAAATTCAGAATCAGAGTCAGTATATGCTAATTCGCTAAAGAAAAAATAGGAAAACTTATTAATGTACTTAACTTATAATTGCACGAATATACTTACTATACAAGTAAGAAATATCAACAAGAAAAACTTATTTTAAAATAAATTAATAATTATCAATTTGGAAAAATGAGAATTCATAATCAGTATATATTAATCAGCTAAAGTAAAAATAGAAAAACTTGTCAATTTATTCAACTGTATAAATATACTAACTAGAACTGTAATTGTAGACTGTAATTGTAGAAATGTATTGACTGTACTAGAAATATCAGCAAGGAAAATTTATTTTAAGATAATTAAATTAATAATTACCAATTTGGAAAAATAAGGATTCAGAATCAGAGTCAGCATGCACTAATCAAATAAAAGAAAAATAGAGGAACTCATCAACATACTCAATTTGTATGAATATATAACTATTTGTATGAATATATAATTGTATGAATATATAACTGTACAAGAATATACAGATTTATACATGTATACTAAAAGAATATCTGTACATGCAAAGTTATAGGAAACTAAAGAAAAATTATTAGTTATATATATGAAATAGTGGATGCCTTAAGTAACAGCGGGTGGTTCGACTTTTATAACGTGATAAATCTTTCCTCCTTTGTATCTCTTCTGTCAATGTGGTCAAGTCGTAGTGTTGAGCTCTAGTTTTATGTTAGCCACGGGATTTGTTAGGAAATTCACCCTCACGTGTCACAACTTTTCAGACTCATAAACATGTCAACTCAGATCCTACCCCTTCTTAGTAATACGCACAATGGTACAGGAGGCGCTCGTTGTCCCCATTAACGAGCCTTAAGCACCAAGGGAGGTAGTTTCATCGATGATTCTTTTTTTTCGACACGTAGCACGTCAAGCATAACGGACGAAAGATCATTTTTCTATACGAAACGTCTCGTGCATTGCTCCAAAATTGTTCTTCGTAAAATCAGCAATGTTTATCTCATCCTATCCTACATCCTAGCTCCGTTTCCGACCATAACATAATTCTCATTCGCAACTCTCTGCGCTAATGGATTGCCCTTTCAACTCCTTTTGTGCGGTTCTCCTTCCTCATAATTTTCTCCGATTTTTCCGGGATCTGTCCTTACTTTCTTCTTAAATATCTAAGTGTATTAAAGATTCTTCTTTGGGGACAATTAGATGTTCTCTTCTCTGATTTGTTATCTGCTGCTTGCCTTACTTATTTCGCTCTTGCCGTTAGCTTGATTATTAATCAAAAGGAACATACACATATATAATTATATCAATTTTTCACGTGCAATGTGTGTGTAATTGTGAGTAAAATAACTTCCCAATGAACTGAAGTATCGTATGCGCGAAAACTACAGCGACTAATTAGACGGATCGTCTGCTTATTTCGGTCTGGCAGAACGGAACCGTCGCGAGTGTGCTTCAAATAATTTGGCACGGGCGTACTTTTAAGAGAGCCGAAAGTTACGCGATGTCTATTATTTCTGTAGTTTATCCTGCATTCGCCGGGCATGTAAACAGAGACACGTATTCAGCGCCAAGTGCTGGATGAAACAGGAACGGACACGTTTAAAGCCGCAGGAGCGGCCAGAATACGGGTCGAAGTGTCAATATCGATCTACCTGTTTAGCAGGATCGTCTCAACGACTACCGTTTCGGTACCTCGTGCTGTTTTCTTTCTCTTCCCTCCACTGCTCGCCCCTCGTTGCTCTTTTTTGTCCTTCTCCCACTTCACTCGCTTCAATTTCTCTCTTTCGTTGTTAGCTTCCACTCTGCCCTTCACCTCTCTTGCCCCCATGCTCTCCCTCAGACTCTCTTTTCTTCCCTTTCTCCTCTGCCCCTTTCGTTCCCCTTCCGCTCAACGACCCCCTTCCAACTTCTCCCTTTTCTCTTTTACTTCTTCCCTTCGCTCTTGCTCCCCCTTAACCCGGTCCCCCACTCGGTTTTTATTTTTCTCTTTCCTCTCCTATCTCCTGGCTCTCTCTCTCTCTCCCTCTCTCTCTCTCTCTCTCTCTCTCTCTCTCTCTCTCTCTCTCTCTCTCTC